TCTTTTTCAATGCCAAAATTTCTATGAAAATTTCCATCACCTGTAAAATATTCATTGCTATAACAATTAATCGTAATCATTTTACAATCAAAATGGCATTAGTTCCGAACATTCCTTAAAACTGTCCACAAAAATTTATTCAATTCCATAATTTCAATAAGCACAAAATGGCAGTTTTTCCATCACAAATCAATTAATTTTTCGGTATGGATGAAAAAACTTTTTTTTTCTGGTGACTGCTCAATCGACAAAAAAAAAATCAATTCAATTAAGGACTGAGCACAAAATATTATATTTTTTGGAAATGAATTTCAATTTTCTGAATGAAGTAATTTTCTGGCTATGGCAAAAAATTTGTTTTTGGTAGAACAAAAGGCAGTTTATAGTTTTATGAACCTATTGTAGCCAAAATAACTGAAAATACAAAAAAGTTTTTACATAACTTGATGGGCTTTTCGTGAAATGTGATGCTGCCAGTAAAAGTTTATTCAATTTTAAGGTTGAGTTTGGAAGCTGTGGAATTATTAGGTGAGTTGTCTGACTGACTGAACTAAGCTCTTTGGCTTATAATGACAGCATTTTTGGTTATTGCTGGAGCTTTATAATTTGGAACTTATTGTTAAAAACCTGTTTCCTGACTTCCAGGGGCGTAGCCAGGAATTTGAAGAAGGGGGGGGGGGGGGGGGGGGTCAAAAAAAGATTTTATATTATAAATTCAGTGGGAAAGGGGGATTTTTATGATTTTTTCATAAAACTGTCCCCCAAATCCCCCCCCCCTCCTGGTTACGCGCCTGCTGATTTCTAATTCAGTCACAAAATTACATAGACTATGAAACGTTCTCGACAATAAACCAAGAGATTCACCCATTTAATAGTGATCGAAAATCAATCCGCAATATAGCTAATCAAGTCCAACCCCTGGTTTAACCTTCTCATCTTCACCAGATCAACCTTAAAAAACACTAAATCCTACATTCCAAGCTTTTCCAACTTGTTCCTTGTTTTCACTAAAAATAATGAATTTATTCGTCTGTGAATGTGAATATTTATCAAGAGGAAGAGATGCTTGAGGGAAAGGTAATTGAATCAAAAGCATTGAAATGAATATTTTAGGTATCTAATGACGAAGTTTGTTGATTTTTTTTATTCAGAAAACTTGTTTTAAGCCTCAATGTGATGACTGCACAGGTATTTTGTAAAGTTTGATTTCTTCTTGTTCAGTTATAAGATTTTGTGAGGATGTTATGCGATAGAATTTATGTGCTTAATGAGGATAAAGTGGTTTGAGTTGCAAACTGGTTGGAGGAATGGATTTTTTGCGTTGATGACTTGATTTCAAGATCTCTTACATAGATGTTACTTGATACTTATGAGAATGCTAGCTTGGATTCAAATCCAGATTGACAGCAGCAGCAACGATCTAGAATAGAACCCGGGTCGGTAGGGTTGTTTGGCCAACACTCTAACCACTACGGCACTGCTGCTTTTTCGCTGCTAATGCAGCAGCAACTATTTCATAAAAAGATGCTCTGTAGCTTAAAACTAAGAGTCTAGTGACTACATGCAAACCATATTGACTTTCATTTAATTAAAATATTCATAAAAGAACCGATGACTCCTTCATTCCTTTACATAAAGAACATCAAAGCTAAATCATTCTCTAAAATATATGAGACTCCTTTGTAAATCAATTCAGAATATCGTATGATGTATCAACACACCAACCATGTCTCTCATCATTGGCATCAAAGCCACAAAGTTTGTCATGTTATGTCAATTAGTTGAAAGTAAATACACCAAACATTTATGTAATGGAATTTAATTAAATTATTTTTTATTTATTTTTTTCTGATTTTTTTTACAGACCTAGCATGTAAATGCACTGAGTACTTACAGCCATTTACAGTGATGAATGGTCAGAACATAAAATTAATGAATAAATTATGAAACTAATTCAAGTGTTTATTTTTCCACGGCTGTTGATTCCTCTACATCCTTTGTCTTCTTCACATCCAATGCTTCTTTGTCTTCCTGACCGTCGACTGATTCAGGCAGTCGTTTTATCGGAATAATGCGTTCTTTGACTTCAATTTCTGGTCGAAGTTTCAATGCTTTAATAGTCATTTTGCCATCAGCATTTAAGTATGTTGATATGGTGTCTAGGTCGTATTCATCAGGTAAAATGAATTTACGTGTCAATTGACGTGAAATGAATCCATGCTCATCCTCACGCTCTTCGTGTTTCGCTTCTATAATTACGTCACGATCTTTCACTTTCACAGATATTTCCTCTGGCTTAAACGATGAAAAATCGAATGTTATGCTGAAATCTTTTACTTCTTGTTCCTTTGACTTTGTGCTGAGATCATTCTGACTGGCTTTTTTTATGAGGAGTGGACAGAAGTGATTGGATGGTCTTATTATCGGAGTTGTGAAGGTTCTGAATGTAATTGGATGTGGTTCGAAGAAGACCATTGGATATGCTTGCTGAGCAAATGTTGGTTTTGCTGGTTCATTCAGTGCTTGCTGGATTTCGTCGATGATGTTCAAAAATTCTGGTAATCCTCTCATGATTTTTGTCTTTTTTGGTGGTTCTTTGAGGAAATGTTAAAGATCTCTTGACTTTTTTTTGTGGATTTTTTGGAACTTTGATTTTAATTATTTTTAAACTTCTTTAAATTTTTTAAATGCTTTGAATTTTTAAACTTTTTTAAATGCTCTGAATTTTTTAAACTTTGAGATTTTGTGTCTCTTTGCTTTCTGTTCTCTTCAACGTTTGAAAATATTATGCATACACACTGACTGATTTTCTGTATATTTATACACACAACGAACGTTCTAGTAATATCGAGAAAATTTTATATTATTTTTCTAGAAAATCCCCTTAAATTTAGGCAACATATATGTTCTTTGCGCCTTTAAAGTATGCAACCAGCTATATTTTGTGCATTCTGGATTGTTCAAGAATTTTCCATTAATGACGTCACGAAAAATTAAAGTAGTCACTTTGAGTATGATGAAATATTTTTGAATTTATGAAATAATGTCGAATGTTGAAGAATTTCATGAAATTTTGAAAAATTAAGTTTTTAAAAAAATTTGATGAAAATTGAATAAATTGATTAATTTATAATAATTGAATAATTGAATTGATTTATTTAGAAAATGAGCTGAATTCATTTAAAATAAATTGTTTGTAATTGATGGAATTACCGCTCCCTTAATTTAAACAGTTTACCTGATTTTGGTATCTAAAGCTTCTTAAGGCACACTAGAGGAGGAAATTCGATGCCCTACTGAGATACAGTACCTCGAGCAATCCTTGAAACCAGCTTTAGGACATATCCAGAAATTTTTTAAAATTATCTTAGATTTTTTTTTAAAAAATCTTAATAAATTAACCAAAATCTGCAATTAATCACCTCTGGTTAAGCTCCATAGCCCCTCCGCTTCATTGCAATTGAACATTTCAAATTTAATTCATACTAAGAAGGTTCTAAATTCATTAAATGATACTTCCAAATATGCATAGAAATAAATTTCAAGCTCATTAAATTGATACGACATCTTTTTAGCATGATTAATATAGATTATCGAGGAATCTCAATTAAAATTTTTTTTTTTTCATTTCAATATATTCAATAAATGAGATCAATGAATTTTCTCTTCATTTAATAAGTTTCAGCTTAATGAAAAATTAATTTTATTCCTCGTAAAAATTTTTCTTTTTTTTCTTCAATTAATGAAATCTTTTTGAACTTTTCATGGCAAAACATAAAATTTTATTGAACTTCAGAGGAGATTTAGAAAGTATTACCCCTCTCAAGCTGTCATCTTCAGTGGTTCTAGGTTCTCATATATTCAAATAATTTTCAATGAGGAAGGTTCTTTTTAGAAATTCATATATTGGTGCCCCCCCCCCCCCTTCCCTTCCAGGATACATAACAAGACCTCGGTTTTGATGGTAGATAAATTAATCTTGATGGAAAATTTCACAAAAAAATTCGTAAGCGTATCAAAATAAATGACGTAAATCATAAAATCATATCTGCAAAATTTCATCAACAGAAAAGGAATCTTCTTGAGGATCTTAATTTAATCAAGAAGAAATGAATTTGCAAAAAAATATCTTTTTATATATTTTATTTTTAACCTTAAGGCATCTCAAAAGTCCGTCAATCGAATGATGATGTTGACGATGAAAGGACATGTCCGAAAGTTAAGGATGTTTACATAACGAAAGCTGTATTAATCAAGCAAAAAAAAAGGTAATATTTATATAGGTACGGTATAAAATCAAATATTTGTCAATCAATCATGCCTACAATCTCACCTTTATCCACTTTTCAAATAAAAAGTGATGAAAGTTTATTCAGGAAGAAAATTATTTAGACAGAATTAGAGTTGAGAATGTTGATAAGGTGCATTTTTGATTGATAAATTGAAGTTTCTATTTAAATATTTGACTAAGATAATTTTTTAAATTTAAGAATGCAAATTATTAGAAAATAAGCTTGACAAGACATAAGAATTTTAAAGGATATACGTTTGCTTAAAAAGAACTCAATGATTTCTTAAAATGATGAAAATTACCACAAAAACACACAAAAGTAAGTATTAAGCACATAACATCCACATGAGCCATTGCAAAAAACCTCAATTTCATTCAAAAAAGATCATAAAATCAAGTTCAAATCCTTCCTCAACATCCATTTCATTTCCCAAACACCGAATTTCATAAAACTTCAAATTTAATCTCTCAATTGTGAAATTCAGTTCTCGAATTTTCTCTCAAAAAAAGAGAGAGTATTAAACTGATAATCATCATGACATAGCATAATTTTCATGTCCACTACTTTATCAGTTCATTCAATTTTAGAAAATAAATGACGTCATTTTTTAAACTGTGCATGTCTCAACTCGTCACAGAAGAAAATGTTCTCCATATCGCGAGAACACACAATTTTCGTATAAATAATGAACAATTTGTCGACAACATCAACACAATATTTTCAAACGCTTAAGTGAACACATCAAGTGTGTAGAGAAAAAAATAATAAATCAGAATAAAAAGCTCGGTGGAACTGAAACAAAAAGAAACATCAGAAAAAAATTATTGAAGCAAAAAATTAAAAATATAAAAATTTTGTGAAGTGATAAAAAGAATTTAAAGCAATCAAGAAAAATAATCATGGCATTGTTACCAGTTTTGTTAGACATGGTTGATGACATTTACGAGAATCTTGACAATCCAGAGAATACTATGGGTGATATTCCATTGCTGTTTGTACCACATGGTAGAAGAAGAGGACGCGATTGTCCAAGACGAATGGAACAAAGTGATGGAGAGTGTCCAAGAAATAAGGAACATAGTGATGTGGAGGGTCATGGACATAGACATTGTCATGGTGGTGAAAAGCATGGCAAGCATGGTCATGGACATGGTGAGGGTCACAAACATGCTCATTCTCATGGTGAGGGTCACAAACATGCTCATGGACACGGACAAGAACTCGGTCTTGGACAAGAAGAAAAACGCGATGAATCCCATGGACGTAGACACTGCAGACGAAAGGAAAGACGTGGAGCAGAAGAAGGTCATTGTCGTTTTGCAGAACTCAGAAAAGGATTATTCGGAATGAGAGGATGGGAAAATTGTCCACGTTTTAATGGCAGAGGATGTCCACGTTTTGCAGGCAGAGGCGGTTGCCCATGCAAGAAAACTTTAGCTGAAGACTTTAAAGTCACATTTGACGTTAAATCCTTTAATCCTGAAGAAATCTCAGTGAAAGTAAAAGGACGTGAGATCTTCGTTGACGGTAAACATGACGAGCGTGCGGATGAACAAGGCTTTGTGTCACGTCAATTTACAAGAAGATTCATTGTGCCTGATGAGTTTGACACTGATACTATTGCTACATATTTAGACATCGAAGGACGTATGACTATTGTAGCTTCTAAGCCAAAGCCTCCAGTTGACGATTCAACTGAACGAATCATTCCAATTGAGCGTGTAGCAAAAGTTCAAGATGAAGTTGTTGACTTGTCAGAGTCATCTGATACTGATAAAATGGATGAAGACACCAATGACTCAAAGAAGAATTAATAAGATGGAATTATGGAATATTTATATCAATTATTCAACTATATTATTCGTTAGACTGTAGCTTATATTTATCATCAATGTTGCATGCATGCATCTACACTTTATGGATCAAAAAATATTTTTAAAATGTGATAAAAATGTTAAAAAAATTATTTAAAAAATGACAAAAAAAATTAAATTTTAAGACACAAAAAATAAGATTTGGTTTCAATTTTTTATTTAAAAATTTTTCAGTTCTTTGAGAGTTTCAGATTTCCGATTAATACAGATCGAACTGTCAACAAAAATGCTTATCAGCATCAACAAAGAATTACAATGCAAATAAATTATTTACGATTTTTTGGAATATAAAAAAACACATCTATAATGACAAGGCACTTTTGTGTTATTTTTTACAGCTGTATAAATTATTTTCAAGGTCGACAGAGAGTTTGCCGGCTATTGATTACGTTTGCAATCGTGTTTATTGTGCAATATTTTGAAATACTTATAGCACATTGTGGACATATCAATTTTTTTTTTGTTATCTCATTTTTAATTCCGCCTTAAATTGTTTGAAGTTTGTGTCTATTAATACGTATGTGAGTCATGTTATTGGTTTTGGAATTAAGTTAATCAATAAATGGGTCATTTGACCTCGTTTATCTAGTATGGCTCGGTACGGTGTGGAACTACTGGTATGAAACAGCTAGGATCCCCTTGATTTGGAAAAGTTCTTCAATTTACTTTGGTAATCACCTCTAATGTCATTGATTTATTGATTTCCTTCCGATTTTTTTAAATAACCTTGTCCTTAATGAGGACATTAACTTGGACAAAGTCAGAACTTATTGACTAGTCTTGACTTAACTTATAGACTAACCACAACCGTCGAATTGAATTTTAAACCTTTAAAAAAATTGACAAAACGATTTCAATCGTTTCACTAAATGCAAAAATAGCTCAAAACTAATGATTTTATCACTCAGAAGCTTCTCAATAATTACATGTAATTTAATACAAGCGTTACTCTCATGCGTTACGTGGAGGTGCACTTGTGAACACTTCAAAAGGTTCAAATACATCTTGATTACTTAAAACGTTTGTAATTGTCTCGTGAATTTACTAAACAACATTTTTAACATGAATATTTCAACTCAGATATTGTTTCCATGTAAATTTTAAATGTAATTCAAAAAATTGAACTTATGACTTTAACAGACAAAGAGAAGAGTTTCGATCAAGAGTACATAAAAACATGCTCATATACATACTCACGAGGCAGGCGCATAACCAGCGGGGGGGGGGGGGACAAATCCCGTGACGTTAACAGAAATTTCTTCATTTTGCTAGGAGTTTTATGGAAAAATCCGAAAAATCATTTTCCATATAAATTTCCACCCCCCCCCCCCCCCCCCCCCATTTCAAATTCCTGGCTACGTCCCTGTCACGAGGAATTGCTGGTTCTTTCTTGCTGAATACTTCACAAGAACAAACAGAAATCATAAAATCTATATAAAGTTCACTTTAACGTCCGAAATTAACGGTCATATTTCAGAAATGAATAATAGATTTCCAGGAATTTCAATTGTTCTTTTTTTTTGCTGTCCTCCACCCCCATCCCCCTTGGACATCGTAAGTTAACGGCTCCATATTTTTTCGACATTTAAAAGTTGTTTAATTTCAGAAGGCATTAGACAAGAAGTTATCAGGATGTACAACAACACAGCATACTCAGGTTCGAACCATGAGAATCACCCCTGCAATCACCAAAAAAGAAGGAAAATATTAATTTCCCAAAAATATGCTCGGATTGTGCTCTTTGTCTGTTATCGTGTTCTACAATCTCAATGTCTGCTAAAAACTACAGTCCACAATAATGTGACTTAAATATGTAGAAATTAGTAGGGAAACCAACATCTTTAGCCAATCGTTAAAGATTAAAATGTTTATCATTTACAATTAAGTATTTAATAAAAATGTTATTTTAAATTAATTAAATATTTGGATACAAAATTTAAACATCTTGAAAAACTACAAATAATCGAATTATTTTCATAAATATAATTAGTGAACACCAGTAGCTCTTGCAGTATACTCGCTAATATATTTTATTTAAATTGATTAATTTGCAAAATTACTTTAAAATTTTAAAAATGTCATTAATTTCGTGGGATGAAAGAAGTAAGACTGCTCGTTTGTTTAAAATTTAAGTGTGACGCAGAGTTGCGATCTGTCGCAGGCAATCACCTGTCATTTACCTGTTAACAGGCACAGATCTGTCATATCTGTGAGCATCTTTGACAGATCTGTGACCTGGACCTATGACATGCTACCTGTTTCGCAACTCTGGTGTGACTTTATATTTTTAATGCTTACTAAATGGTACAAAAACCTTCATGATGCAAAATATTTTCTTTTATTTTCAGACTCAATCATTCGTTCCTGGGCATTCACATCATCACCATATCCAATTATCTCAGTGTCTCTCATCTACTTATGGATTGTATTTAGAGCTGGTCCAAACTTTATGAAGAATCGAAGACCATTCGATTTGACTTTAGCTACAAGACTTTACAACATCTTCCAGATTGCCGGTTGCTTATTCTTTAATGTGCAAGCATTTAAACTTGGATTTTCGTTTTATGAAATTTGGAAATGTACTGATGAGCCGAAATATATTGGATATTCTGACGAATTTGAGATGAAATTAAATTATTATCAGTGGTGGTACATTTTTCTTCGAATGTCTGAATTTTTGGAAACAATATTTTTTGTATTAAGGAAGAAATTCAATCAAGTGTCAATTCTGCATGTTTATCATCATATAAGCATTCCGTTTCTTCTATGGATCTTCTTAATGTACAGCGGTGGACGAATGGAGTTGTGCCTTGCAATCTTTAATTCTCATGTTCACGTGATCATGTATGGATACTACTTCCTCAGCTCGTTCCACAAATTACAAAAATATACAAATCTTCTTAAGCCTTTAATCACTGCCATTCAAATTCTTCAACTTTTTATATTATTTATTCATTGTGTAATTGCATTACTTCCTGGATGTCATGCATCACGACTCTTTGTCCTTCAAGCTATTAATTTGGGACTTTTAATTTTTATGTTCTTAAAGTTTTATTTTGAAAATTATTTAAGCAATTCTGCAGATGCATTTTTTAAATTTTTACACAATGAATATATTTTTTTCTCATTTTATGCTCAGCAGTGTCTGAAGTTTTATGTTTATCTAGTGAAACGTATTAAATCCTTTGTTATTAACTCATTGAGAACAGCTAACTTGCTAGAAAGTAAAGATTGAGGTTTTTTTTATCGAAATATGTCAAAACTTAGTTTAATTCTAAATCTGACATTTGAATTATTAATGAAGTTTTTATAATTTAGTAAAAAAAAATATGAATAATAAAAAGCTTTAAAAGCTACAATTAACCGAATTTTACAAAAATTTGAATAGTAATTATTTGTAGCTTGTGCAGTTTACTGATAAAATTTATTAATTTAGGATCGCCAATATCAAAGATTTTAGAGAATGACAACAATTACTTGGGATGAAAGAAGTAAGATTCTAGAATGTTTCATTGAAAATCTAATTTTGCTAAACTTTCAAATCAATTACAGTTCATAAAGTTTCTCAGATATTCTTAATAAGAATATCTATTGATTCTTAAATGCATGTTCACTTACTAAATGGCACAAAAACAGTCATATTGCAAATATTTTATTTTATTTACAGACTCAATCATTCGTTCCTGGGCATTCACATCATCACCATATCCAATTATCTCAGTGTCTCTCATCTACTTATGGATTGTATTTAGAGCTGGTCCAAACTTTATGAAGAATCGAAGACCATTCGATTTGACTTTAGCTACAAGACTTTACAACATCTTTCAGATTGTCGGCTGCTTATTCTTTATTTTGAAGGGAATCAAAAATGGATTTTCGTTTAATGAAACATGGAAGTGTGTTAATGGACCAAAATATGTTGGATATGTAGATGAAAATTTGTTGAACTTAAGCTATTACCAATGGTGGTTTATTTTCTTTCGAATGTCTGAATTTTTGGAAACAATATTTTTCATATTAAGGAAGAAATTTAATCAAGTTTCCCTCCTGCATGTTTATCATCATATAAGCGTTCTAATTCTTTTATGGATCTTCTTGATTTACAGTGGTGGAAGAATGGATTTTTACTTTGGAATGTTGAATTCGCTTGTACATGTCCTCATGTATGGATATTACTTCCTCAGCTCATTTGAAAAGTTACAAAAATATACAAATATTATTAAGCCATTTGTCACAGCAATTCAAATTCTTCAACTTTCTGTATTACTCATTCATTCTGTAGTTGCATTACTTCCTGGATGCCATGGATCTTCGCTTTTCATTCTTCAAGTGATTAATTTAGGACTTTTAATTTTTATGTTCTTAAAGTTTTATTTTAAGAATTACTTGAAAGGAAAAGCTTCATCTAATTCAAAATCACATTTAAATTAAAAAAGTAAATTTTTGAAATTTCCTAAATCGAAATTTAATTATTGAAATTAAAGAAAGTAAAAGAATAAAAAGAAATAAGAAAATAAAAAGTATATACGAAATAAAAATAAAAGTTCCAAATGTTCCTTAATTTTTGTCTCTATCAATAAACTGACACAGATGAATCTAATAGTAAGCCCTTTATTTTGTGTCACAGACACAAATCATAGACACAGTGGTTAATCACTGATCAACCCTGAATAGCACAAGTCGGTTAATCGAACAGAAAACTCGCACCAAGCTGCTGTAACTCCGGCATTCGATTTAAGTCGATTGGCAAAGAACAGGTCACAGAAGTTGTCTTTGAATTAAGAATCCCGATTTCAAATCATACCACCAATCTTGTGATTCTGGAGAAGTGTTTAAATACAAACTTAGAATTAAATAAATGTGAGAAGCAGATAATGAAGTCAAGAATCGTAAATCCAAAATGAAAGGATTGGAACTGGGACAGATCCATAGAAATTATTGAAGGTTAAGAAAATTTAAAAACTCGAAAACAAAAAAGTTTTATTTCATTAACAACAAAATTGATTTTTTTTTTCAAAACATTCAGAATATTCCCGCACTTACTCACACAATAACACATTCAGGGTTATGAAAGTCACACACAACAAAACAAAACAAAAAAAAAACTTGTTAACAGGTAGTTGAGACTTAGTCACACGCCCCTCAACCACGCAGGGTTGTGTTTGAGTTGTTTCGTGATTCATTTATAAATTAAAAGAAATAAAAGTGAATTTTTTTGGTTTTTTCGACAGACTTTTAACTTTAAATAATCCAAAAAGTGCTCTTTTGATATCCGTGCCTTAACACAATTGCTTTACATATCGAGTATATTGAGAAGAATTCGTGAATTTTATGAATAACAAAGGTTGGTTTTAATTTTAATGCATCGGAATTTTCTGTACGGTTTTTTTTCGTACCTCGACAATATATAGAAAAATTCTTATCTCACTCCACCTATTTTTTCTGCTTTATTTTATAGTTTTATCGCCGATTATCATATCATTTTGTCTAAATAAATGTGTAACATTTCCACTCACAAGTGATTCATAATTGTGCACCGATATCGGATATAGGAAATAAATTTAAGTAGATAAAAAAAAGAGAAGTAAATTATTTGAGACAATTTCTTTCGGATGAGTAGAATAACATCCAGTAGCAACAAGATGCCTGTTGTAAACAGTAACAATAATGACTCGTCGACGCTTGTGAATGACGTTAAAGTGAAAATAGCATATAATGGTGAGGTGCTCATCTTTTATATTGACGAGAACATCACGTATGAGGAGTTATGTAAAGAAATTCGTGGCATATGCCGTTTTGCATCAGATCAAGTGTTCACAATGAAGTGGATTGATGAGGAGAATGACCCGTGTACCATAAGTTGTCAAATGGAGCTAAATGAAGCTATTCGCTTGTATGAAGTTAATCGTGATTCAGAATTATTTATTCATGTCTTTCCAAATGCACCGGCTGCACCTGGACTCTCGTGTATCGGTGAGGATAAAAGTATTTATCGTCGCGGTGCGAGACGCTGGCGTAAGTTATATCGCATAAATGGACACATTTTTCAAGCAAAACGTTTTAATCGAAAAGCATTTTGTGCATTCTGCCACGATCGTATTTGGGGTCTTGGACGGCAAGGCTTTAAATGTATTCAATGTAAATTACTGGTTCATAAAAAATGTCATAAGCTCCTTCAGAAGCCATGCAATGAACAAGTAGAGCCAATTGATCGTATCGAACGCAATGGAGAGAGTGAACAAAAAATGGCACAAGCAGAAGTGCCGACAACAATTGTTGAATATCCACATGGTGATTGTGATCAAGTGGCTGTTGAGTCGATGGCTCAATCGCATACAGATGAGCCACTTGAGCCGGGTACACAGCGACAATATTCTCTCATTGACTTCGAGTTAATACGCGTTATTGGCCGTGGTAGTTATGCTAAAGTTCTTATGGTTGAATTGAAGCGAACTAAACGCATTTATGCAATGAAAGTCATCAAGAAGGCATTGGTGACTGACGATGAGGACATCGATTGGGTTCAAACAGAAAAACATGTCTTTGAGACAGCTTCAAATCATCCATTCCTTGTAGGCCTTCATTCGTGCTTCCAAACACCATCACGTCTATTTTTCGTCATTGAGTTTGTACGAGGTGGTGATTTAATGTTCCATATGCAGCGTCAACGTCGTTTGCCGGAGGAACATGCTCGATTTTATGCTGCCGAAATAAGTTTAGCACTCAATTTCCTACACGAAAAAGGTATCATTTATCGTGACTTGAAACTAGACAACGTCTTATTAGATCATGAAGGACACATCAAGTTAACAGATTATGGAATGTGTAAGGAGGGTATCAAGCCAGGCGATACAACAGCAACATTCTGTGGTACACCAAATTATATTGCACCAGAAATTCTACGTGGCGAAGATTATGGATTTAGTGTTGATTGGTGGGCATTAGGTGTACTGCTTTATGAGATGCTTGCCGGCAGATCTCCATTTGATATTGCTGGTGCATCCGAAAATCCAGATCAAAATACCGAAGACTATCTCTTCCAAGTAATTCTCGAAAAGACAATCCGTATACCACGTTCATTGAGCGTAAAGGCAGCATCAGTTCTTAAAGGATTCCTCAACAAAAATCCAGCTGATCGATTGGGATGCAATCGTGAAGGCTCATTTATGGACATTGCAAATCATCCATTCTTTAAACAAATCGATTGGGATATGCTGGAGCAAAAGCAAGTGACACCACCGTTTAAGCCAAGATTAGATTCAGATAGAGATATAAGGTGAGCAAATGACTTATTATCGAACATTTTGTCGATAAAATTAATGAAATTTCATTATCACTGATTGGATTTTTGTTCCTCATTCTTCTTGTCATTATAGAGAGGATTTAGCAAACTTCCCACCTGAATTCACTGACGAGCCAGTTCATTTAACACCTGACGACGAGCGTATAATCGAGAAAATCGATCAATCTGAATTTGAAGGCTTCGAATATGTTAATCCTTTATTGATGTCACTCGAAGATTGTGTTTAAGGTTGCTCATAATGCGATTAGTTATATTGGATTCTTCTTTATTTTGAGATCGCAATCATCACCATTTTTTTTATACAACCACAACCATCATGAAGTATATGTATGTAGACTGGGGAAAAACATGAACAACATTTTTATCACATCACGTATTGTATGGCCAGTTCCATTATTGCTTTATATACTTATGTATACCCTACTCTCATTGTAAGTATTGAAACGAAAATTCCCATTGATCCCATTGTAATATTTCTTCTTCTCCTTAATTTTTTTTTTGCTTAAAAAACGAACCCGTCAGAAATTGTTTTGTAACTTTTTTTTAAAACCACCGAAATTCCATTCTTGTTCCTTTTTTTGACAAAATGTAAAATATTTTAACGAGATGAGGAAAATTTCTTTTGTGTTGGGTGAATCTATAGATTAGGTTGGGGAGTTTTTGAACAATATTTTGTAAGGCACCCCTTAGAGTAAAATTGAGGGACTTGAACCTTATGAAAGCAAATTTGTCAGTTCTCGAGTAGACCGTCTGTGAGCGAGTGGTTAGGTATTATACTCAAAATCTAGCACTTAAATTTTTAAAAACAAGAGTTCGATTCTCAAACGGTGTAAAACTGGTGTTTCCGAGAGTCTTGTAAGAAATTAAAGAGTTTTTGATCAAAAAATTGTTGATTAAAAATCAATTTACAATAGAATTTCCTACAATCATTTGCCTTGACTCATGAAAGTTTGCAAATAACTTAGCTGCAAGCTTAACTGATTTAAATTATCTACAAAATGCTGATAAAGATATTGAAGAAATTTATGCGACACAAAATTCTAACAGACGCAAAAAAAATATTTCAATACTGTCTTATCCAGATGATTATATCATATTAAAGTCAAATATTGCTAGTGAAATACACTTGACCCAGAAACTCAGCAAAGTTTTTTTTGGGTCAGATAAAAACAATTGAGTCTGAAGTTGAGATTAGAAAAATATATTTTCTAGATGATAATTTTGAATGAAAATAATGATGACTAAAACTGATGATCAGTTTATAGAATCTTTACAAAATTGTGCTTAAAAAATATATTCATGGTTGATTTAGATCAGTAGTTCTCAAACTGTGTGCCGTGGCACACTTAAGTGCCGTAAAGGAATTCCAAGTGTGCCGTAAAGAAGTTTGAAAAACACTGATTCAGATAATTTAAAAACTGAAGCAATTTAGAAATTTTTTGAGGTCTACCTAAGGGGAAACCAGCATTATGGGCAAACAAAATGTTTTCCATCGTGTTCATTTCTCTTTGAATGTACCCTTACAAAATTTTCTGACGACTAGCCTGCTTTCCAAACTTATAAATTTGCAAGGGGACAACAACGTGATGAAAACATTTTTTAATTCAAAAATTTACCTTCCTACTCAAAGTATTCGGTTCTTTCTACTGAACTCTATCGATTTGAAACAAAAATTTTGACAAGTAATTGAGAAAAAAGTGAAAAATTCTATTAAAAAAATTTACTCATCATGTTGTTTCCCCCTTAGACGTTAAGCATCATAATTAACTGATTCACAAATTTTAACAAGATTATTCATAACAGTAATCAAAAATAAATTTTCTAGCGAACATCCCCATCCAAAGATTTACCCAATTCACGAAATTTTCCTCTAAATACGAGCAGATCATAGAATAGAACAAAAAAAAAGAAACCCTTTGGGACCAAAACAAAAAATTCCATTCATACTTCATTTCTGTTCTCAAATTTTCTTACTTTTTATTATATTGACCTTTAAGATAACAACTTAAAGACGGCAACAAGCAAAAAATTTGTTTCATTTTCCCTCCTCTTATTTTATCAATTATTTTATAAGTTAAGAATATTACATACAGAAATGGCTTAAAGGCAAAGAAAAAGAAAGAAATAAACATTCCAATTTTAGGGCAGTGATTAAGTAGCATTTTTTTCTAAGGAAATATAAATGAATGAAGACATTCGCGTAGGCAGCTAAAAAAAGAAGAAATATATGAGAAATCGTGTGTGTAATTGTGTGTGCTATACAGAAAAAAAAATAAAACAAAAAAAATATATAAACAGTTAATGTCGAAACGATAAAAAAAGAGAACAGATAAACATTTCGTGCTATGTGCTCTGCTTCTATTTTTTTTGTGGGTGAGAAATAAAAACAAAGAAAAAAGCTTTTCCATTTATGTACTCAAAACGGTTGATAAGAAATATTCATTATTTTATTTATTTTTCATAGCTTGCGAAATGAAAAGTTTCCAAATATAATAGAAACATACTATGTTGGACTAGGTTGAAGATAGCTTGAATGTTGAGTTGTGAGTAATTTAACATTTAAAACGTTCCCGAAAGGCACACTGTGCAAAAATGACCAACAATGTGGCACCAGTAAACTTAATTACACATAATGCTAGTTTCTAGGGCTACCCAAGATTCTTTCAAGAAGTTTTGATTAAAATTGAATTAAAATTCATGGTGACTCTATATAAGCGCTCATTTGCTACTAGTAAGCATATTTGTCACACATTTAAAGACCAATTAATTATAAAATTGCATTACCTAGTATCAAAAGTTAGTTTCGAATCCTAAAAATTTTAATAAAAGTCTTAACGTCTGCTTGAACACGTTTTTGTCTTTTTTAAATTTTTTGAAAATGTTTCACCATAAACTTTATTTTAATCAAGGAAGCGGAACTGACAAATTAGATTTTGATCAATTTTGTTCATTTTGATCAGTTCCGCACTCTTGATTTTAATCATACTTCCAACAAATCTCTCGAACCACATAAAATATACGACTTCAATAATGATTATGTTCATATAAATACTCACACTTTCCATAACATAATCACCCACACATCTAATCAGCACATATTGCTCGTTAATAATGAAACAAAACAAAACAAGACGAAAAAAAAGTTCTTCAATTGAAATTGAATGATTCGCAATATAAAGCGTACATTCAGCACACATTTACATAATTCACAGTCATCGTCATTAAGGTTGAATATATCTGTATATATGTTTTATCCATACGACGTATTTCATGTCAATATATAATTTTCTCTACATTCACTTCCTCATTATTCCATCGATAATTTAGAAATTATTATTATTCTCATCAAATAATCGGCTTGTGTTCATTCTAGCGCGCACCTTTTCAAACTCATCAAAGCTGAACGAGAGAAAGAGAAAAAAAGTTGAAAAGGAAGGAAAGGGGTTTTTCATAAATGACGTCAATTATGCATTTGGTACTTTAACACCCCTTCCTTATTTTGTGACACAAATTTTGATTTATAATGCCGCAAAGATTTAGAATCTTAGGGAGGTCGTTTGAAATGATTCACGAAAAGTTCGACCAGTCAACGGTTCGAATCCCTTTCATCCAGCATAACTCATATAAAAACCCTACTTTCATAATAAATAGTATACGTCATTTCTAAACAATCCCCTTGAAAAAGAGAAAAATTTCGTTTGTCGAGTCAAATAAAGAAGCAAGAAAAGGAGGAAGGAAAGGATGAATGAATTAGTTTGATTGAATATAAGCATGCATGAGCAAAAAAAAGAAGAATAAAGAGAATAAATTTTATCTGTCAATGGTAACAGAACCGGGGGGAGGTTCTCACCATTTCTCAAATGTTCCTTTATATTTGTGCTCCTAATGATGGAAGACATGCTGATTAATTAAAGAATTGTATAGATATCAAGTCAATGTCAAAGGCGCGCCCCCAACAAAAATATATTACAAAATAAAGACACTGACATTGGATGTTTCTCGGGCGGAAAGGGAATGAAGGAAATCCATTTTTCGATAAAAAAAATAAAACGAGGCATTCATTATTTGAAATTACTTTTCATTTTCAATCGGCTTAACATTTTTCACGACGACATTTTCATTTTTCTTATTTTTCTTCCATTTTTGCCTTTTTTTATTTTATTTCTTAAAGCTTCAGCTTTAGGCTTTGGCGAATGAAAAATATAACAGGAAGCACGGAGAATTGAGATGAAGAAAAAATGAAAAAGACAGTTGGATATTTCTATTGTTTGAGTGGCTTTGATGGGCGCATTTTTGTTTTGGATGTAGCTTGGGAATGAAATTAGATTTATTGGCATCTTTACCTTTTATTAAGATTATGCTCTTTTATTAAGATAGATTGATACTAGATTGAGTAGGAATCGAACCCAAACATTCAAAACAGATGGACTTTAAAGCCTCTTCTAGTGATCTTTACTATTTGGTCGCCATGATTGATTCTACTATTCAGCTATCTGTAGTACACATCTATTTAATTCGACCATGAACTCAACAATCATGCTTATCTTAAAAATGTATGTTTTAAGGACAAATCAACTAGATGGGTTTGGAATGTGTGGTGTATAAAGCTATTTAAGCGATTAATGATTAGTGACTTGAAGCTTTAGCGTTATAAACAAAGTTCGTGGGTTCGATTCCTAGCAGTTGCTGAAAAAAATAGCCACAAACTTAAGAAAAACCACCTCAATTTTACTTTAGAATCTCAAATGTTAGGTTTCTTGTAGTTCATTGACTTATGGCATCAAATATTTGAGTTGGTGGATTACATATGCATCTAAAGTGAGCATCCTCATTCACATAATCCACCCCAAAGAATATAATATTAAAACAAAACTTTAAATGATTACAAATAATTGCACCAACACCTGATCTTAGCACATAAAATCACAACTCATCTCCGATCAAACCCTAAAGTTCAGTCAAACTGTTAAGCATGTATGCAATCTTTTCCTTTCCACATCCCCTAAACAAGAGCTTCAACAGAAAGCTTTCAGTTCTGTATATATTTACAGATTAACAAGCGGCAATTCCTTCCTTCTTCAATTTCTCATTCTTCCTTTTGCCATTGTGATGTGTGTGCATGTGATAAGAATATTGAGGATGGGATTGAAGGAAATAAAAATAAAAGAAATGGTGAGAATATAAAAGACAATTTGTTGATATCGATTTGTCACGAAAATGTGTACATGAATGAATTGGTTTCGGTTATGTCTTTTATTATGTGTGCATGTACAGCTGACATTTAAGACTATTCGTTATCCGTAATGAAAATTAAATAAATTTTCGGTGGAATTTTTTCTTTAAAATGGAAAAGCTTTAAAATGCAAAAGTTTTGATTTTAAAATTTTGCATTCTTAAACAGCAATAAGACTTAAATTTTATGGTAATTTGGATATAAAATTTTACGATTTGCAGATTTAAAAATCAATAAGATCGCACACAAAATTATACATACGATTTTTTATTGTTTCACATATATTAAGGAAATAAATGGAATTATTTAAATTTTTATATCTTTTAAAGATTCTTTTCAAAAGTGTATGAATGTACATATGTTATATCGTAGAAATTGCAATTTCAATGTTTTGAAATCAGATTAAAGCAAATTGTTGCATAAATGCTAGCTGTTCTACATATCTATACCCTATATGATGGAAAAATCATTAAAACTGACTTTATAATGAGCAATTAAGCTATAAATCATATTTGTATTAAATTAATGAGCTCAAATTTTTATAATAAAATTTTCATTCGAAAAAAAGACTTTTAAAAGACATGGTAATTAGTGACTTAAATACAGTATCATATAAATATAGTTAAAAAAATTTTTATATAATAATCGTGTACTTATCGGTGAAATTTGAGAAATAATCTACAAAGCTACTTAAAAGAATTTTTTGTGTAATTTAGATCTAATGAAAATTGTGAAAATAAATTTTTAAAGGATAAAATTTCGTTTTGAGATTGGTTTAAGAGAACTAAAGTCATAGCTCCTTAGTTCCTATCTTTTGGAAGTTGACCGAATTCAAAGATTAATTGACTAAACACTAAAGCCTCAAAAAATTTAAAATTTTGTAATTTAAAAAATTTGAAATTTAAAAAGGTTTAAAATTTAAAATAGATTTTTTAAATCGAATTTTTAAAATTGAATTTTTTAAATCTTTTTTAAAATTTCTTTTCACAAAACAAAAAAGTGATATAAAAAAGAACAAAATAATTTGAAAACTAAACTAACAATTCAAAAATATAAGCAATTTAACAATAATTCGAAACTTTAATTTAAAAAAATTTAATTTCATAATTTAATTTGTTATAAAAATTAAAAGTTCGAAACCTAAAGTAATTAAATAGTTTTTTATATGAAATCGGAAAAACCTAAGGCATTATTAAATGTTAAAAACACTATTAAGGTTCTTAATATTGAGATTTTAAATATTAAAACCTAGTATTAATATCCCAATACCCCCACCCTTCTCCCTTTTGGTTAAAAAAATGGTGATTTGCAGTCTCAAAGAAAGATTTTTGTAAGAGAAATTAAAAAAATAAATAATTATAAGAAATTACTTAAAATACTAATTTAAATCCCTTAAAAAACAATAAATGCAAATCAAGTATTTTTGAATACAATAAAAAAATTCTAAAGGAAGAAAAAATATTTTTTAAAGAAAAGAAAAAAAAATAAATTATAACTTTAAGGAAGAAATTCAATTCTGTGAAATTCAATTTTTTAGATGAATTTTGATACAATAATAAGTTGAGATCTAATGAAGAGTGTTTAGTATTCAATATAGACACTTTGAAGAGCATCAGAAATTGATACCGTAAATCTGATACTCAAAAATTAAACTGTCTGAAAAACTGATTAAGTTGTCTGATAATTTATTGATTTTTCAATAAAATTCAGCACTTGAAATCATCTCAACTAGAAGAAAAAAAAATCAAAATTTTCAATCAAAACAAATTTCACAGAAGAAAAAAAAACCTTTTTGACGTCCATGAAAATAAAAAAAAATGTTTTCAGTTCTTTTCCCTCCTGTCAAAGTATTCATACTCTTAAAAATTATATATTGAAAGATAATAGAATTATTATTAATATTATTATTATTTCTATTACAATTATGTTTATTATCATTATTATTACAACCATCAATATTTTTTATTCAATTGTAAAAGTGGAAAATATAAAAAAAAGAAATTCTTGAAAAGTAAAACCATTCATTTTCGCATAAAGAATAAAAATTATGTTAAAAGATTAAAAAAAAGTCTTGTGTTTTTCTTTTTTATGGGTATTTGTTAATGACGTCTCGCTTTTTTAAAACTGTTAATCTTGCTTGAATTTTTGAAAATTTAAAATTTTGAATTTTTGAATTTTTGAATAATTGAATTTTAAAATTTTAAAACGTTTAAATTTTTGAGTTTTTGAACTTTAGAATTTTTTGAATTTTTCGAATTTTAATGCTTTCTGAACCTGTTTTCCCATTCTATTTGGCAAAGAAGCTAAACTCCATCTACTCACTAAAGACATTTGACATCATTTTTAAACAACCCCCAATTCCCATTCCACTTATTCCTTCCGCCTTATCTCACACGTTGAACTTTCCACGTTCTTTTTACAGATTTTTTTGTTGCAACAAAACAAAAGAAAATTTCCTTGCTTTGTCGTAAAACAGTCAACATTTAATTCACGGGGGAAGATCTGTCGAAAGTTTTCTAGAAGCAAGATCATTCGACTTGAGGCAATAAATATTAATAAACAAATCAAGTGAAGAAGTAACTTTTGTTGTGATAAGAAAGAGAGAATTGGGGAGCAGGAATGACAAGAATCTCGATTAAAGTTAAAAATAAATTTAAACTCCCGTTGAAGTTACTTTGGATGAAAAAAAGGTATGCTTATTGTAGCGGTGTTGGGGGTTCAATAAAGGAAAATGGTGTAATTGGAACTGGATTTATAACTCTTGGTTGTTCTGAATGAAAGTCTAGCTCTTTATATGGGTCGAAAATTTGAACTAATGGAATCACATTAGGGGCTGTTCACTTATTGCGTAACGCGAAAAAATGACTTCTTAGACCCCTCCCCCCCTCGTAACAAAATTTGTATGAAAAAAAAATTTCCTTGTTTGAATCGTAACAAAATCTTAGACCCCCCTCCCCCTTAAAAGCGTTACGTAATAAGTGAATGGCCCCTTAGGTCGAAAGCTATTCACAGATGAATCGAAAACTCTATAAACCGACAATGACTGCACTAATCTAGGGTTTTCAAACGAAATTCTTCCAATGTCTAGTTCTAAATACGTGAAATGTCTATGAAAAAGATCGTGTGTCAGAAAACTCATGTGGTCTTCATTTATTCTTCAATTTTAGTGCAAATTTCAGCACCTTTGGCTATGCTTTTAATCTAAATAAACAATAATAATAATAATAATAATAATATTAAATTTATTAAATGAAATATTACAATGTATGAGAAAAAAAAAACGATTATTAATATTAGCCCTGGTCTGGCTTTAAATTAAATTTTGCTTGACAGATGATAGTGAAATGAGGCTTAATTTCTACAAAATGAAATAATGGCCTAAAAAATTAGAAAAAAACGGCCTATATGTTTAACTTAACAATAAGAAGATATTAAGAATAGAAAAAAAAAGAGGTAGCATAATTTTACTACATAACTGGTTTTGGAAGTCTATGCTTCGCTACGAAAGGTAAAGAATCAGCGTCATAATTTCCGAGATTAGCAATGAGATGATTAGAATGGTGAATTGATTTGGAATAGAAATTGTCAGTAATTTTATCGATATAATCTTTAATTAACGGAACGTTAGCGGAATCGTGGATATCTTTAGTTGGTTTGAAATCATCCCAATGAACGTCTAAAATCATACGCAGAATTTTGTTCTGAAGTAATTGCAGTTTGTTAATATGACACTTCGCAGCATTTGCAATAAATAAACAATAAATGTATATATATATATACTATATATGAACTAAATATGTACTATTGCAATAAATTCGATGTATATTTCTTGAATGATGATAATAAACTGCCTCTTTCTGTTTCCCTATCCTCTTTAGTGTGACGTTGCCTTGTCATAGGCACGGCTACATTATTTAACTTTTATGTTGATTTTAATTCTAATTTGAATCATATTTGCTCAGTTTAGTTCAAAACTGTATGTTTTGCTTAGTTTTGCTCATAATTGCTCAGTTTTGCTCAATGGTGCTCAGTTTGGAATCAACTTTGCTAAGTTTTGCTCAAAAATGCTCAATTTTGAACCAAAATGCTTAGTTTTGAATCAAATTTGCTGAGTTTTGCTCAGAATTGCTCAGTTTTGCTTAAATTGCTAAGTTTTGCTCACTATTACTCAGTTTAGCTTAACAGTGCTTAGTTTTGAATCAACTTTGTTAAAATTACTATAAATTTCGCTCGGAATAAAAAAATCCCAATTTTACACACATAATGTCAAGGACATTCTATTTCAAATCCCAATTGTAATCCCCACATACGTCAATTTCATTCACAACAACCTCGAAAACTTTTTCTCGTCTATTTTAAAAACAATTTTTCAATGACATCATTTGCTTCATTTCTAATGATTTTTTAAAACTCAACGCTCGAGATAACATCCGTTAAGAAGAAGTTGAACTTTTTTTTTAAAAAATCCTCACACATACATCGAGTAAATGCCTGCGGAATCATTATAAGAAAATAAATCTACGTGACATGTGAGAGAATTTTTTTCTCTCTAATTTATTTTGCTTCTTCTTTTACTCGAATTTGTAATAGCAACATAAATTACAAATAACTCCTTCAGGACTATGAACATGGTGCCTTCTCGTATTCACATTTTTCATATTTTTTGCTATTTTATTTTTTTTCAAAAAAACAAACAACAAACTTTTTTCTGATTGTAAGGCGCGTACATAAAAAAGTTTTTTTGTCGTCATTTAACCCAGTAGACGTTGAATTGAGTTTTTAAAGTTAAATTATGGACATAAATGCGAAATGGAAAAGCATCAATAGCAATAACTCATTCTAAAGCATCTAGGAATTTCTTTATTTGGAATGTCCGCTCTACTTTCATGCTTCCACAGCCAGTTCCGTAATCGATAGCTTTTATGTGTGGTCATCCATATAATTATATGCGGTTATTTATAGATCGATTATTTATGGTAGATGAAAGGGTCATCGTGCTTTTGGTTTTAGATTTCCTTTTTTTGTGGGCTTTGGAAATGATTTTGTTGCTGATTGTGAGTAACTTTTGATGTTGAAGGTTAAACGGAAGTGCGAGGGTTGAATTTTTAATTTGGGTGGATATTCGTTTTTTGTCGTGGGATTACTTTTGACGGAATTGGAGTTTAACGTAGATTTGAAAAATGCTCAATAATGTGAGCATATTTAAAGACATTTAAATGCTCAAATAAAGACCTTCTGGATATATCTAAGGCGACATTTGCTTCCTATCATTTAGAAAAACGTGACATCATTTTGTGATGTCATAAATAAACGACCTCTATGGCACTCTTGAGTAGTATACAGGTAAGTTAGATTAAAATTAGCCGTTACGGTAACGTAAGGGTACCGTGGCATCTTGTTGACATCTTGACACTAACATAGCGACTTAGCTAAGCCTCAGCAGCCACTCGGGTACTTGAAACAAAGAAAACACCTAACATCAATGCCAAAAAGTCTACAAATCTCTCATTCATCAATATTCATGACCTCACCTTCATCAATAAGTCACCAACTCAACAAAACATTGAATCCCACATCCAAAACTCACTGTCAATTGATGTCATGGTCAAGTATCAAACCACTGAACCGTCAATACACACAACATTTCCTACTTACATCTTCTTTTTCCACAAAAAAGTTTTTATTTAAGACTGTCGAGTGCCGCATTTTCTTCATTCACCCTCAATTTATTTTTCAGATGAGAAAAGTAAATACAAATTTAATCAAATCAAAATAAACAACAAAAAAAAAGTAAAACCTCATGAAACCTTTCAAAATGTCATTAAATCCCGAGTTTTATTTACTTTATGAAATTTCTTATTATTTCGTCTGCATGACTATGTACATAGATTAATATATTTACGCAAGAAAATTAAATAAATAAACGAATGCGTTGGCTGTGGACGACGGGAAAGAAAAATCCAGAATTTATGCATTCGGATATTAATTTTCGTCCTTTTTAATCTAAAGAGATTTTCCCTCGAGGAAGTTTCATTTAAAAAAAATTTCATTAACACAACATTTTCCGACTTATTTCATTAAAATAGATAAGAAGAAGTCGATAAATTTATTCTCATAAGACCGACTGTACCTTCTCGCTTTTCGGTTCCATTTTCTCCCATGAAATAAATATCACGTGTTGAGAGATGAAGATGGGTAGAGAGTTGGGCATTAATGAACGAGTATTGTGTTACTGACTGTAAATGCAATTAACCTATTTCTCTTATCGTCTCTGGTTGTAACTACTAGCATGGATATTTCAAAACAAAAATAAAACTTTTTTCATGTGCTCAGCTTTATTTGCTGTTCTTTTTATTTTAGTGCAAATTTGAGAGATTTTAAGGGGAATGCAATCACTAATAGGGTTTTCAATCTCGGGATTGAAATGAATCTAGCTCATCTGGCAGAAACCATGGATTCCATGGATTCCATGGATTCCATGGATTCCATGGATTCTATGGATTACCCGAAACTGTTGGTTTTCCATCGAAACTCACAGCTTTTTGAATCCATCGTTTCTATAGATTCTATTAAAAACCCTTAGCTTCAGATTTTCCATGGAATCCATGGAAAATTTAGCTCCACTGCTTATATTTATTTGTACACTCATAAAAATATTTTTAATAATTTGTTACTAAAATCTTATTAAAAAGTTTTTAATGAGAATTATTAAAATTTTAAAAAACCTTATCAAACTTTTAATAAAACTTATCAAATTTTAATAAAAGTTTTTAAAATTCTACAGCGTTGTAAAACTGTTGTAGGTTTCCAAAATTGTAAGGTTTTCATATATTTTATATACTTCACAAACGCTCCAAGAAATGACTTATAAAAGGTCAAAAAAAGGCAAGTTAATCAGCAAGAAATCTCGATAAGAGACATCATAGAGACTTCTATTTTTTAAATTTGATTTGTGCTGCTCTATAGAAGAGCTGTATTGTTTTTGGGCAAGGTAGGAACAGCCGTTGCTTCAGAAAAAGCATAAAACTTTCCTTTCTTATGAATTTTTTAAAACAAAAGTTGACTGTGATTTTTATAAAATTCAACTTTTAATGAAAAATTTTTTTTAAAAACTTTTAAAGAATGTTCGTTAAGCTTTAGACCTTCAAACTTATGCTAACCGAAGCTCAGCTCACTCGCTAGCTTTATATCTTCAAACGTATGCTGAGCGAAGCTCAGTTGACTTATCAAGCTTCATACCTTCATACTTATGCTGGGAAAATCTTGGTCTATCCATTAGACTTTTGATGGTACGGTACACTAGTTCTGACAGGTTTTATTTTAAGCTTTTCTTTAAAAGAGCTCAAGTTTGAAAGAACTTACAAAATATTACGTTTGAATTTTGTACGAATCACTTTAATTATTTGCTGAACATTTTCAATAAATTTGTCGCCATCAGTTTGTTTAAGTAACCTTGTATACCTGAATAATCAGAATAATTTCGAAATTTTGAGATTATAAACAATCAAATCTCTTAAATGGTCGATAACCATTGAAACCTTCTTGGGGCTTGTATACACGGTTAAACAGCATCAGAACTGCCATAAAATTCTAGTTAATTTAATAAGAATTTTAGCAACAGAATTTTAATTTTGCGTTCTTTTTATGTTTAAATCTTTACATTTTTCTTAGCAAAATGTGTAAATAATATTATGATTAGATTTACAAATCTAATTTTCTTAAGGGCAATTTACAATTATTTGAAAGACTTTTGGAAAATTTCAGGAAAGAATCGAAAATTTATTATTTTGCCCATTAGAGGTTAACATATCTACTTCTAAACATTTGAACAAAACTGTGATTTTTAAACAGTTGAATGAATGAAGCGAAACAAAATGGAATTACGGCTACATTTTCTTTAAACATTCGAGCGAATCTCGAACATAATTTTATATGGAATAGCTAACATCTTTAGATTAGTTGAACCCACTTGAACCCACCTTGATTTTATTTTTTAAACAATTTGGAATAATATATTTTTAAAAAGCAAACATATAACCAATATTTATGTTTTCTTCATATTTAGGTTTTTAGAATAATGAAATTGACAAATTAATAAGTGGGATTTTTTTTGGATGAAAATCCTATTAGATAATAAATCCACTTATTAATACAAGTGGAATTATTATCCACTATGACAAATAAGTTTTTGGATTTAATTTAATCCATAATTTTAATCGTGTTCCATAAAGATAATAATCCCACTTAGAAATGTAAGTGAAATTATTATCTACCAGGGAGATAATAATCCCACACTCATAAAAAAAATTGATGAATTTTATTAAAAATGTATGAAAAAGTTTAATAAAAGTTTATAAAAATACATCTTGATAACTTTTACTAAAATTTGATAAGGGTTATTAAACGTTTTGGTTTTACAAAAATGCATTCAAATTTTACAAAACTGTTAAAATTTTAATAATTTTCTTACTAAACATTAGTAAAAAGTTATTAAGATGTATTTTTATAATTTTTATTAAATTTGTTCATGGATTTTAGTAAAAAGTCATTAAAATTTCTTGGATTACTTTTTTTACAAAAACAGCTTTATAGTATAATTAATTTATAGTATGGAGCTTTTTCAAGTCTTAACTAAAGTGCTTTCTCAAAGCTTAAGACTTTGCATGATTTTTGGCACTTAATGTGCCTCATAAGAAATTTATAATTTTATATGACTTTGTATGAGAACTAAGACATTCTTTTGTATAAGTCATTTCTTGGAGCGTTTGTGAAGTATATAAAATATATGAAAACCTTACAATTTTGGAAACCTACAACAGTTTTACAACGCTGTAGAATTTTAAAAACTTTTATTAAAATTTGATAAGCTTTATTAAAAGTTTGATAAGGTTTACTAAAATTTTAATAATTCTCATTAAAAACTTTTTAATAAGATTTTAGTAACAAATTATTAAAAATATTTTTATGAGTATACAAATAAATATAAGCAGTGGAGCTAAATTTTCCATGGATTCCATGGAAAATCTGAAGCTAAGGGTTTTTAATAGAATCTATAGAAACGATGGATTCAAAAAGCTGTGAGTTTCGATGGAAAACCAACAGTTTCGGGTAATCCATAGAATCCATGGAATCCATGGAATCCATGGAATCCATCGTTTCTGCCAGATGAGCCACTCCCGATTGAAATGTATGTAATCCCGGGATCAAACCCGGGATTCAGTACATTTTAACCCCGGGATTGAAAACCCTAAATCAGTAAGTGCCAGTGGTGAAGCTAGGCGTGCGTAAAAATTGTGTAAATTGTAAAATTAGGTTTGAAGTAGTAAATAACATAATTAAATAAAGAATGAAAATTGTGGTTCGAATCCCAGTCTTAAATAAAGTTTGCCAATTGTTATAAGTCTTCCAAAGTATTTTTTTTGAATTGCAGTGATCAAATGATTAAATGCTTAGATAAATTCCCAAACCAAATCAAATATTTTGTCTAAAATTAAGCAATAGTACTTAAATATTAGTTTAGTCCAAAAAGATACTAATCACTTCTAACGTCCATCAAAAAACCTAATTTTTTGACCACCCATAAATGTTGAATGTCATAAGTGAACGACCCTTATAGATTTACAATGATTTTGTCCTTAAGATTGCAAACAAAAAAGTAGATTCTCGCCAATCCAGACCATTTGTCATCCCCCAATCAACACAAAAACAATTCATACTAGTTCAGTTCGCTACAAGATAACGAAGACAAAGCTTGTTTAAAAAGTACTTTAAAAAGCTTAAGCGCTGGAAGAGCTTTTATCAATGTGTAAATTTTATGTTATCCTGTTAGGATATTTCATTTAAAAAATGAGTTAAAAACACAAGAGTTGAAAAATAACTTTACAAATTCTTGATTAAAGCTAGCTGTTGTGTATGTGGAAATTGGATTTGAAATATTTTTTTTCCTACCGAACATCTATCTTTATCCATCTGTGCAGCATGTGAAAGCCAAACGAGAACATCTGTAATTTATTTCATACTTTAGAGTTTTGTGTTTGTGTTGATCCTTGTGAAAAGAGAGTGAAAATCTAGCTAGAGTGGTTGGTAAACAAGAATTTGTGAAAGATTGTTTTGTTCAATTTGATTTTGTTTGTGATTTGGATTCAGTATCAATTTTTGTTTATAAAAATAAAAGCTGAGAATTGTTTCTGATAAAGAAACTGATAAAGGTGTGAGTTCGAATCTCGTAAATAATAATTAATTTGTTTATTGAAATTATTGATCTTTCTTTTTTTGAATTTTTGCAACAATCACTAAGGAGTCGATCATTTATTACTTGAGAATCGTACTACTGGACTTCCAGGAATTTCTATTGTTTCTATATGCTAACCTCCCCTCCCCTAGAAGTCATAAGTGAATGGCCCCTTAACAGAAAGGGGTATATTTTTTAAAGTTGGATATATTATTACGTATTAAGGGGACTTTTTGTAAATGTTCTCAAACTTTTAATGTAGGGATGAGAGATCGGGGGAACCTGATGCTACAGTCTGATGCTGTATTTGTCTTCTATAATTGTTCAAGATATTCTATCCCTGAGCCGAAATAATCCTGCAGCTGCTAAATAAACATCATTTATGAAGGCCAACCAATTAATTCCCACAAAATCCTTACTTAAATGATCCATAAATTATCATTCATCATTAACATTCCAAAACAAAAAATCTTCAAGTTTCTCACTTAATTTCCCACACAACAAGTTCCTTTCAATAACGGTGAGAAAATCCACAAATTTTCAGACATCTTCAGCCCATCTTATGTGAGCACTTAATTGAACAAATTATCCCTTTCTCACAATGAGAATAAAGGCGAAACAAAAGTTTATGGAATAGGAATTAACACAAAAATGGGAAAGCAACGAAGTCAAAAATAAAAAAAGCAAGATTGATGAATTTTCAAGTCCAAAAAGAACCGGAAAAACAAAAGGCAGTAAAAAATCTCATTTTCCTTATGGATTTAGCCTTCCTCAATGTCCTGTATATATACAACATTAATTGGATTTTTAATTAAGACCCCCTTTATCCGAAATTTAAGCCGTTAAAGGTTGATACAGAAATAAATGAGGAACGGAAGTATATACAAAAAAAATAATTGGTGCTCGGCTATCCATTTTTCTGTATTTAGTGGCACTTACCTTTATCACTAATTGGAGACTGCTGCAATAATTGATCAGATGATATAGACGTAGTCGGCTGTGTTATCGGATATTTTTGCTGCAGATTAGAACTACAAATTGCCGTAGTCCAAAGCGACTGCAGGCCTGTAATGAGAAATAATGAGAATAGAAATGGATTAGTATGGATGATTTTGTGACAGGTTTTGAGGTTAAAAAGCATTTTTTGGCTATTTTTGACTGAAGATGAGGATTAGTTAAGACACAGGTCATGTCTGGAGTGTCTGCTGATTTTTTTATGTAAACCAGTTCAACTGCTATAGTTTAAAATACATTTAAGAGCCCGGATAGTCCCAAAAAGTGGATTCAAGATATGGAACAATATCCCAACGAATCCCATTGAAGAATTTAATTGATAAGTTCGAATTACGTATCAAATGTAAGCCTGTGTGAGGTACTCCGGTCTAGATTCAAATTTTAAGCTAAAACTCTGCTAGTTTATCCGCACTTTTCGCCAAATCACAAAATCACAATTTTCAAAACTTTTATGATTGCTATGAAAATTTTAAATCAAAGCAAATAAAAAATGTATAAATTTCATTCATTCAACTCGAAACAATAAACCTGTTGACACCAACAATCCTAAAGTACTCAAAAATTCAGTACTTAAAACTTTAAACCCGTCTCATTTGCACAGCAAAATTTATTCAAGCATGGAAAATCCACCCAAAATGAATTCAAAAACCCTTTAGTCTAGCAGAAAAAATGCTTCAACAAACCAAGGGGAACACAACGTGATGGACAAACGTTTATTATTCATTTTTTAATAAATTTCCTATCAATTTTTGAGATTTGGTAGAAAATGTCTCATCGTCGTAGAGAATTAATCGAAAACATTTTTCCATTATGTTGTCTTCCCCTCAAAGCAAACTTATGATGACCAGGGGGGGGGGGGGGGGGGTCAGCAAGAAAAGAACAATAGAAATTCCTGGAAATCGATTGTTCTTTTTGAAAAATGACCGTTAAATTCGGACGTCATAAGTGAACGACCCCATACAAAAAAATATGAAAAATTATTCAAGGTATTAAAAAAGTTGACGTTCATTAGCCTCATGCTTAGGGGGTATGACGAATGGATGGGAGGAAAAAAAGAATGAAAGAAAAAGGTAGTAGACAGGCAAGCTCATTAAATAATACTTAATAAATACATTAGCATGAAAAATGTTAAGTACATCAATAGTAATAATGGCGCCTTTCACGCTCTTCCGTTATTCATTTATTAGGCATTTGGATGAAGAATTGGCTTCTATTTCCGTTAATTTTATCATAAATTTAAATAAATAATCATAAAAGATTATGAAAAAGTATTAAACTTTTCTTTCATTTAAACAGCAGAACAAAATTTTTCATTTATTCATTAAATTGCGAATGAAACGAACTCAAATACTTGAAAGTTTTTTTTTATAAATCCACTCACTCTTTATCTTTCTCGCTTTTGGAAACGAAACGGAAATAAAAAGGATAAATGAATTAAATTTTCATATTCGAAGAATTGTGGAAATTTAAAGCTCACATAAAGGAAGTGAGAGAATGTTCGAGGATAAGTTGAATTAGGCGCATTTGATTAGTTTTTTGGAAAAGGATTTGAACCTTGATTTTTTAGGTTTAAGAGTTTCAGATTAATTTTATATGTATTATAAGCTTGCACTGTTAAGGACGTAAATTTAGCTAAGTTTGGAGCAATTTGCAAGGGGGAAAACATCTTGATGGGGAAAATATTTTGAGGGGAATAAAATTTTTTTGAAAATTCAATTTCAAATTTCCAATCAAAAATGTTTCCCATCATGTTGTTTTCCCCCAAAGATTATAATTTATTTGACAAACTTTTCAAGTTCCACACCAGTTCGATACCATATCATTTACCTACTTAAAGCTATCTACCCTTCGGATAACAGCTCCTTAAAAAATCATCAACACCTTCAAATCTCAACACCTTCAACATTACTTCCCTCAAAAGAAAAACTTCAATAAAAATTTCTCCGTATTTTTGTCGTAAAGTCACAAGCCATTTACAATCCAAACAACAAACCATCATCATAACATCGTTCCAGTTATCAACACTAGCAAAAAAAAAGAAACTTTGAAAGCCACTTTGGAAAGAAGAAACTCTTCAGACAAAAGAAAACTCACATCAAACATCCAATTACGTTTGAGAAACTTTGCTAACAATTTTTTTTTTTGTTCCTCTCAGACACTGCGGGTTTATTCATTAGTGATGTTAATTGAATATTGGGATTTTTGAACTCCTACAATCTATTGTAGCTATAAAGTTGTCTCATTTTTTGTAGTGCAGTAAGAGACCCTACTGTCATTGTGGCAGCGATAGTTTTTAATGTGCCTTGTTGCAAATTTATAAGCTTCACATAAGTTCATTTGATCATACCTCAGATTACATATCTTCAGATATAACCAAGAGGATACACTAGTATAGGGGTAGGTCTAGATTAATGCTGTCCAAACTTTATGAACCACGGGCCACCTTGATAGTAAGCCATATAGACACTAGTGTGCTGCGGCACACAGTTTGAACAACACTTGTCCAATAAATCCACCCCAGACAATAATTTTATAATTGATGAGCCACAAGTCGATCTTCTTTGATTATTTTGTTCAGTTCCACAACCTTACTGTAACTCCTCCCAGGGGACGGTCAGGTTCAATAACTTTTTTAAAATTTTTTATCTTTTACCATAGCTTTCAACCCCATGCCTACCCCCACATCAAGTTTGACATCATATCTGTACGACCCCACAGTACAGTAATGATGAAATTTATGTTGAAAGCCACTACTGTGAAAGAATATATGGCACCGAGGCAAGTCATAAATTATGAAATGTTAGGAATGAAAGTTTTTTAATTTGAAAAAATAAAAAAAAGAAAAAAGAAATAAAAAGTTTTTTTTACATGAAATATTTTTCATCTCCATCCATTCTATTTCTTCCTCCTTTTTCTGTTCCTTTTTTCCCCTTTTATTGTGGTTTTGTGAAAAAAATATGTTCTGTAAAGAATTGTTTTGTATTTTCAGAATAAGTTTAAACTTTCTTTTTTTGGAACAACAGTCATTATAGAGAATTACTTTGTGCTTAGAAGTAAATAAAAAAGTTTTTTTTGTTATGTGAAATTCTCGAGTATGCGATAATTAAATTCAATCCTATCAGACAATTTAAAGCTCTGTTTAATGTTTACTGAAAGATTTTAAATCAGCCTACGCAAACTGTTGGAATGTAGGAGGAATGTTTATGACAGATATGTACGGAGAAAAATATCAAAAAGGTCAAGTTTTTTTCTGATGGTCTGTATAATATTGGGTAGCTCTTTGGAAATGTTTTTTTTTCTTTTTCACAAATTTAAAGCTTGTAGGTCGAGGTTCAAGAAATATAAGATTTTGAAGCAAATATTATTGAATAATAAAGTAGCTTGAATATTGAGATGAACTTGACACATCACTATGGGGCAAAATGAAAAAAAAAGGGACTTTCACTTTGAAAAATGGACTTTTCCGATTTACACTTTTTGGGTGATTTTTTCTTGTAGAGGACATAAAAGTAGATAGAAATGCCAAATTTCAGGTCATTTGGTGCTGATTTCGCGATTCTAGAGCTGTTTGAAGTTGAAAACTAGTGAAAATTCTGGTTTTTTCATACCATGTTTGAACCGGGAAATATCTTAACTGGTTTAAGATATTGCAAAACGGTTTTCAGTTCCTATTAGTAGTATATAAGAGCTTTATTTTGACATATAACAAAGTTTAGGTTCTGAATGTTTTCGTGCCATTATGGTAGAACATATGTGAAAATTTCAGGAAAATTATCTTCAAACAAGCCGCAACTATCATAAATGAAGAGTTTCCAGGCAAGTAAAAACGCAGTTTTGTAGCCCCATATATCTAGTTTTCAAAACTGTATAAACTTTGAAAAAGTAAGCTAACGTAATTGAGTTATGTTGATTTTAGTAGGTCGTTGAGTATTTGGCCAAAAACTAATAATTCTTTTGAAAATACGAAAACATAGTTTTAAAAATAGTTTTTTGGTGTTTTCTTATGAAAAATAACAATTTAAATGATTTTGTGAAGAAAATTTTTCAAAAACTTCAAAATCTTTCGAGATATAGGGGGTATGTGCTCTCCATCGATTTGGCCATTTGTCACCCTACTTAAACCACTATAACTTTTTTTTGAAAAAATATTTTTTAATTCTGTTTTCGGATTATTGTAGCCTAATGTAATACCTATCCAACGATATATAATACTTGCTAGTTAACTTAGTCCTGGTTATTTATAGGGCTGTTGATTGTGACATACGCAGTTTTTGAAAAATTCCCAAAAATTGCATTTTCAAAAATACCACTTTTAAGCAATCTCGAGTATTTTTTTAGAACTTTTTTATGTTTATTTATGACATTTATGAGATTATAAAGCCAAAAAATTAAATTTAGAAACTTTTTACTTCCCTAGTTAACAACTTTGTAAAGTACCCTTGGTAGTCACTATCAGGTGTGAAAATCTCAGTTTTGAAACTATTTTATATATATACTCGTGAAATTCTCTCTACACATCATATCAGTTTTGAACTTCATTGAACAAGTCACTTTCAAAAATGAACCAAAATTCAACACTTACGAAGAAAACACTCTGTGAAATTCTTCGCGACAAAACGTTAAATCTTGCAACACAGCACACGTACTGTTTGGCAGTAATAGAAGAAATTCATGGGAGAGAATTAGCGGAATCACAGAAACCAAGTTTAATTAATAAATTAAACAAGCTGAAGTCAAAGTCAAAAATGTTTTGTAATCAGTCAAATTGGAATAATGCATTAAGAGATCATGCAGATTTCTATGAAGAGGAATTTGAAGTTGACTCACGATACTTCAGCGAATCTAGTGGAGGGATTCTTTTTGAGGAAGAATCTATATATGAAGCAGAAAATGTTACTGACACAGATGAAGATATGGATGAGATTGAATACATCGTCCATGACATAGAGCCTTCATCCAGCAAGGGCATCAAGAGGAAATCATTTGAACAACTAACAAGCGATAAGCATCGACGTAGAAGAGTGGACGAATTAGATATCAGTTTAAAAGAAGCAAAAGGATCATTGTTATCAGTTCTTCACTTGGCACTTCGCCTTTCTAAAGAAGAAGGAAAAGTAGAAGGAGCTA